ATATATTTTTAACAAATAAGTATACTATATTTTGCGTTAATTTAAATAACACTTTGAAATTATAAGACGAAAATCAAGTTTTTATATTATAAGCTATATACACTACAATTAAATTTTATTACTTCCACTAAATTACCCAAAACTCGATCTATTAACTCCTATGTTACTGTACAAGACAAAATATCCCCGTTGTGTGGAATTCAATGGACCAGACGATAGTTACAATACAAAGTCCATTAGAACGTTGGACCCGCCCCTCTTTTGTTTGGCCACCCTATACATCTTATCCGATTAGGATGGACTATTTGATTTGTGCATTGCCTTAGAAAATAGAGTTAGAAAACACAGTGAAATATAATAATGAAATTTATGTTTTGGAACAATTTTAAGGAGTTATAAGTTATGAATAATCCTAAAATTAAATGCCGTTTTCATCATAGAAAGAAACTTAGATTGACGATATTTGTTTTATTCTATCTTCTTCTATTATTTATTTTGATTTTAACAAAGAAGTTATTAAATAGTCAAATATGATAAAGAGGACCTAATATGTACTTGTGTGCACTGTAAATGGTTCTTGTTCTTATCGCGGGATGTTCGTCATCACTTTCTGATAAGCTTGATATGACGGTAAGGAAGTTATCGGACTTTGTTGGTAGTGACACTCAATAGATATAGAAACGAGAAAATATAAGTAGTTGAATATGACAACTTTTAATGCAACAAAGTATCGAAGTCTCGTAAATTTATGACGATTTTCTCACATTTTAGAAATAATTAAGAATCCTCCTTTGAAAGTATTGTGTAATATCATTGACTATTATAGTCAAAGTTAATATAATTTTCATTTAAACCGTACAATTATTCAAATGATCTACGAATATAAGTTAAAAGTATAATCACATTTTTAGTTACGAGTTTTAGTGTCGTGTAACTCTTATTTATTCTAAATTGGTGATTGTTTGAGCTCCAAAGTAAATACTAGTGTTAAACTAAAATCGTAGTAGTTTTCACGAGGTCTATGTACGATACAGTGTCTTCACAACTTTTAGACTTTAAAGACATTTTAAATACAAAATAAATGCATAAGCCAAACAGTTGTTATAATAAAGAAGTATATACTGTATATTGCTTTGAACGTAGTCCGGTTAGTTAATTTAGTTGATTCAATTAATTATTAAATCGAATATCCTATAGTAATGAAATTTGTATAGTTTATTCAATATTGCTAGATATTCCAATTCCCAACTTGTTCTTGATTTAAAAACTTTCACTAGTTAAGGATGACTGGCTGTTTTAAACAATCTGTCTGAATTATTTGTGTAAACGTGTGTCATTTTACACCTCAATGACCTATAACACATATATGCTGTGTTTTCTATGTATGACAACTTTTATAAAGATTGATTTTAATTTTCCTGACATCCAGTAGCCCAAAGGAGTAAATTATAGTAAGTTGCTTATATTTCTGTTTCAGCCAATAAAGTCATCCCACTTCATATCATTAAATAAACCAAAGCAAATTGTATTGGTTTTGGCATCCAAAGCGAGAAGGTTAACGTGAATAGAGTTGTAGGTTTGCTTTAAGTTATAATGTCTCTCCTTAGTTAATATAACATTTTGTCTTTTGCACAGCCTGATAAATTCAAGCCGCCTAAATATTAAGAGATAATATTCATAGACAATAGAACTTTTTAATGATAAATTCGATGACTCGGCAATAATTAAAATCCTCCTGGCTTTAAACTAAGAAGTAAATATGTAAAGAAATCAGGGTCAGGTAAATTGGGGAAAATTATGACAGTTTAGTTTTGGTTCTGTAAGTATAAGAAAACTCAAAACGAAGAAAAGTTATATTTTCTGTTTCTCTCGGACACGGTCTGGAGACCACGGTGCCTTGTGGCAGTTTTATGTTGGTTTGATATGTTGATCCTACAACAGTCTTCCACAACACACCAGCACACAATAATATTGGGATTTGTAGATTTATTTTCTGGTATATCTCTCATTTTGACTTATATACCTTACACAAGTCAGCTTTATATACTGTATAATGTAGACTGAGACGGGTGGCGTCGTCCTGTAATCCAGCTACTAGGAGGTCACGATTTTTGGATATTTATAGGCATGCACTGTGGATGCGATACTCTCTGGTGTGGATTGACGTCCGCACGAGTGAGTACTACGACTATCCGCAGTATTATTTTGATAATTAGACCAATTCGTATATATCAAGGCAAAAATGTGGTTTGGATTCCACTATAAACTGTAGGTCCCTTAGTTTCCATTAGCTGTATGGGCTATTAATTAACAGCTCTAAGGAATGTCGGCCTTAGCCACTAACAAGACTTCAAGATCGCGCCACTCATCCTACACTCATCTCCATTCATACTTGGCTTAAAATACCTACTTGGTATGGTCGCTATTTAATAAGAAAGTATAAAGAAAGTATAAAGTATTTGTTTTTAGCCAATAAAAACTTAGAAATTCGTAGTTTCTTACATAAGTATTTAAACAAAACACTAGTCGCACATCATAAGAAGGATTACTATTTACGATATCAACTGCAGCTCAAATGAAATACATTCCATGGGATTCTCTAATGGACGATGGAACATAAATTAAGGTAGTGGGCATGTATACCTTTAAAGGATTTTTTATTGCTGTTACACGAGAAAGGGAAGTGTAACAAGCTAGACGAATTTGTTGTACATTTTTAAGTGGTTTATGGCGTAGTGTTATTTAAATAAAGAGTTAATATGACCGTATAAATCTTATTTGCAGATATTTTTGGATAAATGAGACATTTCGACAGAAACATGTCAAATCAAACAGTAAATGTCATAAGCAAATGTCCTTTAAGTCGTGGAATAATTTTACAGGTAGCGATTTTTAAAATATCCTACTTCCATTGCACACGATATTAAAGTAGTAAAGTAGTCCTGTTAAAATTATTATTATAAATACAGCACATTAGCCATCAAGAAAGTACCGTTAGTGAAAAATAAAAAAAAAATACTTACCATATCGGCCAGTGTAAATTGATAAATCCGTTGTAAAAGAAATGTTCACAATATTTTAAAACTAGTATGCCTGTGGTGTCAGAGCTGCATTCATAATATATATTTTTCCTGTTGCCGTATCATATTTACAAATGAATAACATTTGTAATGTGGTTAAAATATTAATTTCTACAGTCATAATTTTGATTTTTCGATGAAGGTAATTTTTTTACTGTGTATATTTTGCATTTAGAAATTGAACATGAAATCATACCACGAATTTTCAGAATAAAAAAGTTTTGGACAAACACATAGTCTCAAAAAAAGACTTCGTTCAATATACCACCTGCTTACCACGTCAAAAAATAACATTTATTGTAATTATGGCTGAAGACGAAGGAAAAAAGGACTTTGTTATCATTTATCATACCAGATATTTCGTACATTCTAACTGCCTAGTGTTTTAAGCGGTATAGGCTTTCCTGAACCTGTGGCGAACAAGAACTGAAATGTTGTACTGTACCATCAGATAACGACTGTGCTTATCAGTGAGAGCGACCCACAGGAGTTTTTCCTAGTAGGTTTACTCTTCCGAAATCACTTAAACATGTTTAACTGATTATAAATGTGTAAACAATTCTTATATTATTTCTATGAACATTAGGAGTTCTCGAACCGTCCTTAAAATTTTAAAAAATATTTCCCATATGGGCTAGTTTGATCCAATTTAATTAAGTCACTGTTTTTTATCGAAATTCTCATATAGGGAAAAGCTATAACCATAGGTCTCGTAGTAAGAAGTCCCCAGATGCCTGAAACACCATCCTAACAGTTACTGGGGAAGTAAAAAACTGTAAATTTGAAATGTCCATGTCATTCTTAAAGAGAATAAATTAACTGTTCCAGTTTGCTTCATACGGATATATTTTGATCGAATCTTTTGTTTACCTACGCTACGACCGTTTTTTAAATAGCTGTTTTAATTGTTGTAAATTGAAAAGTATAACATAACAGCATTGTTAACTTACATTACAACATAGTTTTACTTAACAACACGCGTAGCGGACCAATGAGGTCCAAGGTTTACCCAAGACCAAGGTGAGCGAGAAGAAGTAAAATTGTATGCTTCGAACGTCAACAAATCAGCTGTTTAGACCAATTTAATTGTTGATGAGTGGTGCAATTAGTGTTAGGTACAATGATTCGTTGCATCACTGTCAGTGGAATTGAGGTTAAACGAAAACATAACCTCTCTTACAAGCTATGAGTAAACGGTCGTAGGTAAGGTAGTGTACGCAACTCGCGTTAATAGTCTTTACGACACTCGTAGTTTTTTAAGGCACTCACCAAGGCCTATACCTTAAATTTTCTACTCGTGTCGTAAAGACTAACTTAACGCGATAGTTTCGTAAAATACTATTATTTCATACTAAGATGTTAACATTTCAATTAAAATGGATCTTATCATATTTCCTTCAGCAGACAACTAAAATTAACGTTATTTAATAAGGAATATATCTAAAGAATTTAAGGGAGTATTTTAGTGGAAATCCAGCCAGGTAAATGGAAATTCGCTTAGACTTAGGTTTGCTGCGGCAGGGATCATAGTCTGAACAACTTTCATGATATATCGCAGAGAGACCACAACTGACCGTCACAATATCCACAGTTATGTCTCTAATGAGTCATACTGTGACACTAATCACTGATGTACTAGTGGTCAAGGCCACAAGCCCACCTAATCACTTGGTCAATAATGTCAAAAGTTGTGTGTTTGATTAAAACTGTTTTACTCATTTTGTTTTTGATTTAGTTTTTAATTTAATAAAGTACCTTCTAAATAAATACCTCCCTTCTAAATAAAATATCTTTATATATAAAATAAAGTACCTTCTAAATAAATACCTACGATAATACAACGAATATTGACTTATATCTGTTAACATGTTATGCTAAAATGTTAATATCCAATATTAATTTGAAAAGTTTTGATAGTTAGTTGTTTTATTAGCTTTATTTATAAAATTACGTAAAGCTGATCAGTATACATGCCACTTGTACCATATTATGCACGCTGAAAGCTGAAACAAAGTTAATTAGTTGAACAAAGTAAAATAAAAAGAATAAAAATTAAATGTTTAAATGGAGAAGTAATTGTTGTTTGGTAACTTATGTTCCTGAATTTTATCTACTGTATACAGGTTGGTCAACTCAAGGAGGCCACTATTGGGATATCGGAATCGGCAAGAATTAGAGAAAACTTTAAATGGGGGACATCCCTTTATTTTTTGTGGCAGTTAAAATATGAATTTAGTTTTTTGAAATTCAGCCACCGTTTTCCAATATGGCGGCCAACTTTGAAATTTATTATAGAACACCCGATATTTTATCAGGGGTATTCTATAAGTAACATTTCAAATTTGGCCGCCATGTTGGAAAACGGCGGCTGAATAAAAAAAACCTAATTCATATTTTTAACTCCCACAACAAATAAAGGGATGACCCCCATTTAGAGTTTCCTATAATTATTACCGTTTCCGATATCTCAATGGTGGCCTCCTTGAGTGGATCACCCTGTATATGTCATCATTTAATGTAAAGCAAGGTTTTTTTTACTAAACAAGATAAATAGTATCAGCAATCTGACTCATACTTTATCTTATTAGATTGTAAAAATCCCTTACAATGAATAGGTAAGTGGTGGGAGTAGCTATGATATTTTACATGGAAAATCATAAAGATTGCAATGACATTTGAACTGTAACATTTACAGCATTGTGGGTTGTTTTGTTTTGTTTAGAGCTAAGGGGGCCATTACATACCAAATTTCAATTTAATTGTTCAAGCCACTTTTGTAACATTATCGTTTTCCGTTAATTACTAAAAGTTGGTTCAGGGGGACCCAAAACGGATATTTACACACACAACTTGAACTCGAAAATGTTTACGAAAAAAATTGGGGCCTACTTTCTTCTTATCCTATGTATAGAGAAAGTAAAACAAATTGCAAAAATATCGTCCTCCTTATCATTGAATTCTGTTTATATTTTCCAACTAGCTTAACCAATATTTTACAGTATCGTGATAGCTATCAAAATGTTAGGTTATGACGCAATTAAAGTTATTTTACTAATTTTACAGAGCTAGCTTTGATTTGGATCAAATTATAACGTACCAAGCACTATGAGGTTCCATTTTGTTGCGATGTTGTTCATCTTAATGACATGAATCAGGTAGACTAGCAGAACCCCGGTCAGGATTATTAATTTGTACACCAGATAGGTGAACAAGAAGAACTGTTTGCTCTGAGAAATAAAATCTGATTTTATGATAAAATATTGGCACCTACTTAAAACTTTTTAAATGTAATTAACTGACTTATTATTATTAATTGATATTATTATTAACTTTTTATTAACTGACCAAAACCCCTTGTTGGAGAACTGTACGAGTTTAAAATAATAATAAAAAAAAAACAATAATTAAAATATAGCAATACAATATAGAGCACAAATTGGAAATTTTAAATACTTAACAATATTGGTGGTATGTGTTGTATTACTTGAACACACAAAAATTGTTTTTAGAGGTCTGTATATATAGATATCTTTTTATTTTTCAAATTAGTTTAAGGAATACGTCACTGGATAAATGTGTGTATGCTAAAATTGGTTAAGAATTAAATACATTTTTTATAACCTAAATAGTAGTTTGGTTCAGTGAAAGAGTGTAGCCGAATCTCCGGTGGAAAACCTTTTTAACATAGAAAAATTATGTAGCTGTGCCAGTTTTTGTCGTTATTTAAGGAAAGGCACTCTTTGAAGATTTTTTTTAGATTTTAATTTGGATTTTAAATCGAAACATCCGGATAAATTATTCAGGCATGACACCAATTAAGATAGTTTACTCAGTACCAGTAGCTCTAACCGTTACCTAATTAGCCTAAATTAGCTTTGAACGGAAAGGGATGGTATCTGAACTGTATTGACTCCGGGGTAGAGTTCCTGTCTTGAATGGTTATAATTTAAGATTTTGAAATAATAGGTAAAAAATGTAATGCTTGTTAATTTTAGAAATGTTTAATGTTGTTCTAAGGAATCAACGGTTTTTGGACGATGTCACTTTTAGATTACATATGTTTGATGTTGTAAGGCATTGTTTGATCGTGCAATATCTGTTTCCTTGTAACTTAAGTATTTTCTAGTCAAAAATTGCAATTTCTCCCCAATGTTTATACTTGTCCTATTATTTGCTTTACTATACATTGTTGCTGCATAGAATGAAAAAAACTCACTGTTTCTGTTTGCTTAGATCTTGTTACTGTTTGTTATTGTATTGTAAATTAATTTATTGTATTTATTGTTCTGTTTTTGTTCTTGTTTTTTTGTTTTTGCATTGTTATTGTACGTATTGATATTTTTCTCGTTGACTGATCTGTTATTGTTTCTTTTTTGTATTGTTAAACATATCGTTCTTTGCCTTTGCTTGTGAAATGTGTTGCTTAGTTATCATACATATTTTGAATTGTCCATGTATAAATTGGCAATTTTGCCGTTGAAATAAATGAAATGAAATGAAATTATATTAAATGTTACCTAATGTCATATTATGTCAACATTGCAAAATTAGCTATATTAAATCAATTACAAGAATACAAAACTGTTCTACTTTTAGTTGAGAATAGAGTATCTGTTAATAGTTGAGATTACGATTTTAATTTTTAAGTGGACAAAAAAATGTATCCACTTTATTCTAGCCTACATTAGCTTAATATAAGTTTCCATTATCCCATGCCAAAGACTTACTGATAGCAGGCCAATCAGTAGAAATATGTACATCAGCAGGTTGAAGAAACTTCCCATCAAGTTTAAATCTCTTTCCAGCCGAGGACATACTGTAAATGAATAAAGTTATATTCGTGTTTTCACTATAAACGGGTTCTATTTGTCAAACTTTTAGCAATGCAATTTCAATGAAATTTATAAAATATTCCGATTAATCTGTTAAACTGTACAATTAAATCCCTCCCTTAAAGTAAAAAATGTATTTCCTTTCCAGCAATAAATAGTGAACTCTCTTACAATAAGTGCCATTTTTATTTACTCAATTTATATTATGTGTCCTATATAAATAGGCTGAATAGTATCGTTTACAAAACTTTTTAAAGTTGAACATGAATGACGGATAGGTGTTAAGTAGAGCAAAATGAATAGTGGTCAGGACTATTAATCTTAGCCCAATAATAAAGGAAAGTTCAGGCCAGTTTCCACTTCAGAGCCACTAAATATTCCCAGGATCCAACTGGTTACCCTTTGTCTCTAAGGTGAGCACTTTAACCAATCAGCCACCCAGATATATTCACACTTAAAGTTAATACAACCAATAATTTAGCTTTTTACATGGTCACAATTATTTTTTCAAGTCCTAAGCAGGTCTGAGTGCTCATTTTGGGAATAAAGCCAAAATCTAACTTACCATAAACACATGTTGAATCAAAGAAATGAAAATAAAAACACTTACAAAACCAATCGTTGTTTGGGTAGACTTTTCTCGACTTGCAAATGGCCAGAGGACCGTTGGTTACCGTTCTACAAATATCCGCCAATGTCAGCACCTGTTCAGATATTTCAAAGTATACTGACTATATTTAAAACTACTAAAAAATGAATGGTTTGCATAATAAAGCTTAAACACCCTACAGGAGCGAAACTCGGTTAAATCTTCCAATCTTTTAATCATGCGTAGCCTATACGATACATTAATACTGGAGAGTGATAAGTTAATTATTAAACAATATAGTAGTACTGGACGTACAATTTGAAATTACATTCTGACGGGAACAAACCGTCAGTAATGTTTATTTTGGTATCATTCATACACCAAAAACAAGAAATTATTTATTACCAAATTATAAAGAGCCATTAAAGTATGTACAGATTAAAGCCCAATGGGAACACGTAAAATGTTGTTTGTTTTACTATATAAAAGATTTTACTAGGTACAGTAATAGCATTTTAAAATTAAAACCTTTTTAATAATTTTATAAATGATGTTTATAATTCTTAGATGAACATGTCATTATAGTATTAATGTTGTAGATATGTATAGTTGTAAACAACCATGTATGTATAGTATATAGGAATTGTAATCATTGCTAAACTACTTTTTCATATGTGTTCTCTTGATATGATTGTGTACAAAAAGTTGTTGACGGTCGACTTATTTTTATTCGAAAATAATTCAAGGAATTATCTATGAAAGAAATCCTGTCCAAGTCTGCAAAAGTTCGTAAGGATAAGTGGGCGGTCGGTAGTTGTATTATTTATCTAACTACATAAGGGCAAAGGTTATCCAGACAGGTTTTCCTCTAGCTATAGAAACTTCATTTCCTTATATATCTGTGAGTCAAGTGATATTCTTACCATACCAAATATGGCCAGACACATGGTGTAAAAGTAGGAACCGAACCTGTAGTTTGTGCAAAGGCAGCAGATAGCTTCTACGTATTCCTGTATAAACAAAATTATAAAACTAGTAAGTAGGTAGTCGATAAACTAAAATGCCTCAATTCGACCTAAAATGTATGTTATTGGCTACACTATAACACATACTCTTTGTACTTATTGTTTTTAACTTATAATTACTATAAGTTACAAACAATGAGTACAAAGTAGATATGTCTTATGGTTTTAACCAGACTACTCCTTGGTGTTTTGCACATTCTATTGACTTAACAAATAGCTCACTACTACAATGATGGTTTTAAATGAAATGAGGGTGTTTTGAAGCATTGCATCTTTCGTGTATTTAATCTTGTAATATATTTGTTCACATATTTACAGTATATTATTACCTATATATATTTCGGTAGACTATTGCTATAGAAAATTAAGGAGCAATAAAGTAATAACTTTTACCAGCTGCTAAACAGTTTCTATTTATTTTCTTACTATTTATCGGTTATTATCATGTTGAATACTTGTTAAATACTCACATTTAAATAGTTTTCTAATATTATTGAGGGCTTAAAACATTTTGTGGGTTTGCAACCAAAACTCAAAAATCGAACCATAGTTAATTTTTAGTAAGGTCAAAATTTGCATTAATTACTACACAAAAATATCCATAGTTACTAAAACTACCAACACTAGTTCATAATTAAAGATATTGTTTAATCTAAATATATTATTATGTAGACAATATTTGTCGACTACGTAAAATAATATTATCTTATGCCGGGTGTCCACAAAGTCTTGGCCTGATAAGGAAACCGCTTATTATGAAACCAAGTGATAGTAGGATAAAGATCAGTTTACAGATACAACAGACAACTTTTTAAGATTTTATCACTATGTATAATTTTAATACACATCTACGTGTTCGCTTCCAGTGGCCTGCAGATCTTTTAGATGTATTTTCAGTTCGTCCCAGGTCTTAGTCAACATATCCTGGGTTACAGATGCCAACATGTACAAGTAAACAATCCTAATCACATTTTATTTCGCTAAGAAAAATAGTCCAATGATTCCAACATGCATTACACCTCACCAAGTCCAGGCCAGTGCGACCCTTGTCGCATGTACTGCCTCCTTCCCAGAAATGAGACTATCAGAAACACTACTATCAGAAACAGATCTTCCAAATGTTCGCATGAAAATTCGTCGAACTGCTAATGGGATAGAGTTTTGTGAAACCACAAAACACACTGTGATTTCTCTTGTTAAATTGCCATTTCTGATTTCAGATTTAATTTCTGGTATGTTATTGTATTGAATCATAACTGTATTGTTGTCAATCAGCTGCGTTTAAGGTGATACTCAACTTCATTAAATTAAACTTGATTAAATTACCTTCAAAACCAGGCATACAAGATACAAGTTAAAAGTGGATCTAATGGTTTTTGTACGGCCACGCTATTAAATCAGGCCAAGACTTCCGGTATATTAAAAAAACTGGGTTTTCTTTTCCGAGTTCGTTTGGCTCTTCTACCCGACCAATGTTCATGATTGAGGCCTCAAATTGAAGGTATACACGCACAGATTTTCCATCAAGCATTGACATATCTATAATACCTTACCTTATCTATAATCCCACTTGGCCTACACGTACACCAAATTAGCTCCCCATGTATTTTTTATGGGAGTTAAATTTGGTTTCATTTTTCCAAGTTCGTTTGGCTCTCCTACCCGAACGATTTTCATGATTGAGGTCTCAAATTGAAGGTATGCACGCACAGATTTGCCATCAAGCATTGGGATATATTTATATACGAGTATAATACCACTTGGCTTACACTTAAAACAAAATTTGCTCCCCATGTATTTATTATGGAGTTAAGTTTTGTTTTTCTTTTCCGAGTTCGTTTGGCTCTTCTACCCGACTTATTTTCATTATAGAGGTCTCAGTTTGAAAGCTACCTACTTTATTACTCGACCAAAAAAACATTTTCAAATTCTAACTTCAATTTAAGATTTATTTTACTAGTTATAACCATATAATCCTATATATTTTGGTCTAAGAACCTTCAGTGAAATACAAGCTTTCATTTAAGCTATTAATTATTCAAATCTGACGATTTTTAAGATAACGTAAGGTGAAAAACTAACATAAAAATAATTTTGATAAAGTTTTTTTTATGATTGAAAATCAATAGTTCTAGTATTGTTCATGTTTTTAATACGTTTTAGACCCTAAATAATCAGTAAATTATAAGCTTTAATTTGAGCTATTGATCGTTTGAATTAGTTAAGTTCAAGATACTGTATTACACAATCGAAAATCATAAATTTGATTATTTATCGGATATTATAATTATTTTAACGCTGCGGAGCAGCATGGGTCCTCCAGCTCTATTTAAATCAATTCTTCAATTTGTGCTCTTTTAATCTACAAATTTTGCAATATGTACTTTGTTTTTTGCAATATGATGGTACACGGTTTTTATGGCAAGCACATGTGTCTACTGGTGATATCAATTACTTAGTTAGTTGATTTAGGTTCTTAACTGGAAATACGATCTATGGTGTCCAGCTTAACAAATCTAACAAGAACGCCATAAACACACTAAGTCCCTCACATGTCTTTGTTATTGAAACTTAGTTTTACTACATTTTGTGGCTAAAATGGTTTCTATGTAGCACATCCAACCATTGTATGAATTATAATTAATTGGTTTTTAGTTTCGTCTTAGTAAAATTGATAGAAATGACCGGAGAACACTCGTTCGATAGCTGAATGGAAAAGTTAAAACAAATTTTAGTAAAAAGATTAACTATGAAACAAGTGAGTCACAATAATGGAAATAGTACAAATATTTTATTACGTTATCTATGATCTTTTATCGAATTTCCCTATAGGAAGTAGCTATTACCAAAGGTCTCATGGTAAGACGTGGTAAGCCTGGGACCAGTTTACTTTTTTCATTTTGATGTCCACAGAGGCCAAAAACACCATCCGTTCAAAAGTTATATACAGACTGTCCCAAAAGTCCCGGACCGGTTTAATATTTTCTAAACGACAACAGATAAATCAAAAAGATTTGGTACATCAACACCACACCTAAAAATCTACTTTTATAAGGAACTAAAAATTTTCTGTCATATCATAGGGACGTCCCACAAGGAGTCAGAAGGAAATCTTAAATAGGAGCATAGGTCAATATGCACATCAGTTTAAAGGGCTTAGCTAGTAGAGTTCAATGCTGGAAACTGCGCCTTAAACAGATCATCCGTTACAAAATGGCAGCCGTTCAAAGATTTCTTGAATCTGCCATTTTGAATCTTTGAACGACTGCCATTTTTTACTCAGGCGTCCTTTTGAGCTTGAATTTACGGTTTTGTAATCTACTAGTGAAGACCTTTAATTTGATGTGCATATCGACCTATGCTTACGTAAAACATTTTCTTTCGATTCCTAGGGCTGTGCCCTGAGGAGTATAAGGGTATAATAGCAATGCAAATTAAATTATTCTTCGAACCACTGTCATTATTGGCTCGGTTGTCCGTTTGAGTTCAAATTTGCGGCATTATATTCTGCTAGTAAAGACCTTTAATTTGATGTACATTTCAACCTATGCTTCTGTTTAAGATTTTCTTCTGACTCCTTGCGGGACGTCCCCATGATATGACAGAAAACTGATATTTCCTTAAAAAAGTAGATTTTTAGGTGTGGTGTTGATGTACCAAATATTATTGATTTATCTGTTGTAGTTTTGAAAATATTAAACCGGTCCGGGACTTTTGGGACAGTCTGTATATGTGTGTCCGTAAACATGATAACTTGAATAAGCTTTTGTGTGATTTTGATGAAATTTAGTTTGAAGATGTAAGGCGGGATAAATTTGAATGAGTTCGCGAACCAGCATGATCAGACCATAGGCACGGGGTTCTACGGGGGTAAAAGTTATGTAAAAATTATGGAGTAAAAATTGGTTTTATCATATTTGACCCTCGAAGCGCATGATTTCCCAATTTTTCTCCAAGCCATTATAAAAAGCTAAAAAAAATTATCGAGTATATCAACGTGTTTTTGAGTTATTGGTTACGGAGAGGATTTAAAAAAATTGTAAATTTAAAATCCCCATGTTATTTTTAGAGAGAATATTGTAAAATGTTGTAGTTAGCATGTGTTATGGATATATTTTGATCAAACTTGGCAAATTTATTTATAAGCTAATAATATTTTCCAAAAGAAAACACCTCATTACCCTGTTGCAGCAAACCTAGGTACAAAACACGATAATTTTATACAAGATATTCTATAATCAATGCTAATGTTAGCAGCCATTCTGGAAAGTGGTGGTCATTCTTGAAATTCAATGTCATAAAAGGTAGTTTAAAATGTATTTAAAGGTCTCTGTATTTTCTCAAGGACAAAATGTGGTTCGGATTCCACTGTAAACTGTAGTTCCCTTAGTTTTCATTAGCTGTATAGGCTATTAATTAAGAGCTGTGTCTAAGGAACATGTCGGCTTTAGTCATTTAGTCTACAAGATTGCTCAACTAAACCTACACTCATCCTTCACTCATATTTGGGTTAAAATACACACATAGTGGTGTCTCCATCTGAAATAATTGATTGATTGGTTACTAACTTACTTTCCGCGTCCGGAAATCAGACTTCGCTTTTCCAAAAAATAGCTACCGATATGGGTTTGTCATTTCCTTGTAAAAGATCATCTAATGTGCAAGACTGGTCTAGGCGTGGACAGATCAGCGGATGGCCAGGATTCTGAACAGCATCACACGCGCACAAGATGTTTTCTTCGTCTGGTTTGATTGGTTAATTGTTCGCCATGTATAGTATACTCATCCTATCACAAAACTCAAGATCTAAGGCGTATTTTTAATGAATATTCATATATGCTTAGTGTTAATTTGGTGAATATAGTTTCTGAATAGCATATCGTACTTCTTTTTTTAAAGATACTTGACTGGCATTACCATATTCTAACTATTAGGATACCAGTTATTTGTTGTGTCTAAATAGTACTTGACAGAACTACCTTTCCCTTCAATAATTCAATTTCCACGAGGAAAAAATAAAACCAAACAATTTTTTTTTCTTATGGCACTATTACTAAAGCCGATCCCGAGCTCTAAATTCGAAATGAGGTAATGTAGTTACTCTCCAAGCTAAATTAGTCCAGGCAAATTAGATCAAATATAGGGAGTGCTCCCCAAAAAATCGTCTAAAGCTGGAAAGTGTTTTAATACCTTTTGGGGGTCCCAAATAAGAGTCCTGTGAGTTTGCGACGGATTCTGACGTCTGCTTAAGTTTAGGGAGTCGAAAAACTATGAAAATTTTGCACTTTTTTCAGTTTGTTGCTTATAACTCCTAAATAACGAATCCTACGGAAAATGTTGTTGAAAGGTCTCTTTTAGTGCATTAAATTCTGCGTCGATTGGTGTTAAATACGTCAAAATTGGCCGAGCCATTTAGCCGCTGTAGCTTTTTAAAGTTAGGTAATTTTCATCAACATGGCCAAAAAGTTGATTATTTGACCAGTTTTCGGCTTACAACTCCTAATCGACGCTTGCTATACAAAAATGCACCTGTAGTTAGTTTGGAAAAGACAACATTCTGCGTAATATGTTTTTTTACCAATCA